TCGAGCTCTCCACCTCTCCCAAGCCCTCATGAGCCCTCCTACGCCTCGCTTTTGGCCAGCCCTCCCAGCCCCCACCCCTCCTGGGCCCTGCCGCCTGACACCTCTATCGGTGGAGGGCTTTGTGTCACGGTCCGCACTCCCGCCCTCCCGACCCCTCCACACCCCTACAGCGGCACCCCTACCCCTCCCGCCGTTAGGGCCTGCCCACCCGCACTCCTCGGCCATACAGTGCCCGCCTTGTCCTCTTGAATGGGTCGTAACGGCTCGACGGTGCTCCCGGACCGTACACCCCCTGAGAGGACGTTCGAAGGTCTGTGAGAGTGGTCGGAGTCCACGCCAGCTTAAAGATTATAATCAAATAGGTTCGTCGCGTCGTCTAGCCACGCACCTGCTAGCTTGGTCATGAAGTTAACCACGCCAGCCATTATCAATTACATAGTAAGAAAAAGAATTCTAACGCTCCAGGTCACGCTCAGTGTGCTAGAGGCGCCTAAGAGGTGAGAAAAAGACCGTGTTCATCCGGCCCGCTGGGTGCGCTTCTCAGCCGCCCAAAAAGGTGTAGGAAGAAGCAGGCGGTGGACTGTCGGCTGCGAGGACGGTCGCATTTGCGCGAGGCGAGGCGAGCATTGCTGCGCGTTGCATGCGCCATGACTCGCGCCAGCGCGCGTGCGGGAGCTCCTGGCTGAGCGTTGAGTCCAGGCGAGTTGCGCCGGCCACTATCGCTACGCGCCGAGCCGAGCTGACGCGCCGAGGCGCCGGCCAGTCGCAGCCGTGAGGCATGCCACAGCAGCAGAGGCACCTGCCACCCATTGGGCGGGCAGACAGAAGGCCAGGGCAGCACTGGCAAGTGCAACATGTCGGAGAGCGACCGTGCCTCGTTCGCCGCTTATGACGTGGAAGAGTTTGTTGTACCGTAGAGATTTCACGTTCTGGCCAGCTGGCACGAACCGCTGCCTCCCATGCCCTGCAGGCGGCACGTAGCCATCGCGGGTGTTGCGTGGGACAGAAAAGAAGTCGGGCCTTAAATCGCAAATGCGGTCTCGATCTTACCGCACGGTTGGGTCGACTTTGTCTTTGAGGCTTCTGTGACGCAGCGCTGCGACCTCCTCGGGTTTGGCGCTGAATATCATCCGCTTGCGCAGTCAACGCTCGCGCGTTTGGAGCGAACCAGCTAAGTGGATACTGCCTCGTGTGAGTGAACACACACACACACACACACACACACACACACACACACACACACACACACACACACACACACACACACACACACACACACACACACACACACACACACACACACACACACACGAGTAGGTAGGTAGGTAGAAAGGTGAAGAACAGCCAGGCTCGGACTGGACACCAACGCGGTATGGGTGGACGCTGGACAGATGATGACGACACGCACGAGCGACACACAGACACAAAAGGCTCACAAGACACACAGCCAGCTGGCTGCCACACACCCTGAGTTGGCGTACACATAACTCAAGGCCATATCCTCCCTGTCGCCCCCCCCAGCACTCCAAGGTGCCAAGAGAAACAAACAAGAGCACAACAAACAACAGACGACAGGAAGTGACATGTGAGGCTAGAGCAGCATGCTCCACCTCTAGCAATCTCGCCGGCCGCAAGGCACGGACGAGACCGTATGTGGGGTCTAGTGAGGTGTCTATGGACGCCCTCCTCACACGAAACCGACTCCCCTGCTCGCAAAAGAAAAGCGCGACGGCCTGGGGGCCCGCGCCCCACCCCCCGCCCGCCGCCACGCGGTTCCTCCACGGTTCCTCCGCTCTCTCCCTGCCTCTCCCCGCAGCCCCGGCCCGGTTAGATTCGCTCCTTGCTCTGCGATGGCGGCGGCGAGGAGCCTGAGCGCCACGGCTCAAACGCTGGCGACGGCGCTCGTCGCGGGCGAGCGGCGAGCGCTGAGCAAGGCGATCACGCTCGTGGAGTCGACGCAGCCTGCGAGCCGCGAGGCGGCGGACGAGCTGCTCTCACTCGTCCTGCCGCAGCGCGACGCGTCGCGCTGCCTCCGGCTGGGCATCTCGGGGCCGCCGGGCACCGGCAAGTCGACGCTCATCGAGTCGCTCGGCCTCGAGCTCGCCTCGCGCCGCCACCGGCTCGCGGTGCTCGCCGTCGATCCGTCGTCGCACCGGAGCGGCGGCTCGGTGCTGGGGGACAAGACGCGGATGCCGCAGCTGTCGGCCAACCCCGCCGCCTTCATCCGCCCGTCGCCCGCGCAGGGCGTCCTCGGCGGCGTCGCGCGCCGGACAGAGGACGTCGCGCTGCTGTGCGAGAGCGGCGGGTACGACCGAGTGGTCGTCGAGACGGTGGGCGTCGGGCAGTCGGAGGTGGTGGTGGCGGGGCTGGTGGACA